AAATAACCAGAGGGTAAATATGAACCAGGGATGGGATTATATATATATACATAGGGTTTGAAATCTCAAACCAATATGGGATTATAGTTGGCAAATGAATATTGAATAATATTGATACGTATGAAAAGCTAACATGGACTTCAAACCATCAGTTATGGTGTCTTACCCGGCTTTTGCCCTTCATTTGTTTTTTTTGAAGGATCATCCCACGAAACATTGGGGTGGACATGTCATATATATCTAGTATAGTGGGAAAAGTGATGTGTGTTATATTCATGTTATATCATATTTTGTTAGATAAGATATCCACAATAACCATTTATATTCAGATAACAATGATATAACAATTGTGATGTTTTGTTTAAGTATATAAACATTATATAATTATGAAGGGGCACATTATGGTGGTACAATGGGATACCGTCTATTTTGTCCTCGAAAAAGAGGAAGGGTGGATAGCTGGGGCTAGAACTTGCGGAAAAAATGGATCCGTGGGATGAGCTAAATTATGGTGGGGGAAAAAAGGGACTTATACTGCCCAATGTCAATATCACTATATATATATATATCAGTTATCTATATATATATATATACTTATATACATGTATACATCACAAACGTTTGGGACGGTGGGGATATAAATTACAAATGCAGATATTTCATCAGCTATGGTACCGATGAGATAAAGATCTTGAGCATTGCGGACAGGCATTTGTTGAGCTTGGGAGTCTTCCATAGGTTGTTGGATGTTCACCTGGGTAAGCCTGAAAAATGAGACGGTTATTGGAAGGGAAGGTATAGAGTTGGGTTTTTATGAATGCAGATATTAAAATGACATATTGTTTTTACAGTTACTGAACAATACTGAAACAGAAACACATGTTGTTTGAAGTTTTGCTCCCCTCATCTTTCAGTTACCTGTCAGATAGTGAGCAGCATCCCCAAAATAATGTTTAGTAAAATCGCCCTGGCTACCTATTTCAGAGGTAACTGGAAGGTAAGGCATCTTGATTTTCCGCACTTTTTACAGGACAACAATATGTCGACATAGTCTATAGATGATGTTCCCAGTTATAGATGGTTTTCCTAGTTATAGCCATGGTTTTCCCATGATTTTCTCACCCAGTTCTTAACGGACAACATCATGGCGATTGATCCCTCCATGATCCGCAAGGCCCATGTGCAGTCCCGAGCTTGCCTGGCGTTGGGTGAAGCAGGTCCTGAAGCAGCGGTTCCTCGGGGGTCGTGGTTTCGTGGGCCATGGATGGGTATAAGATGGTATAAGAATAGATTTATGTGCAAATATATACCTACATACCTACATGCCTACATACCTACATACCTACATACCTACATACCTACATACCTACCTACGCGTACCTACGCGTACCTACGCGTACAAACGCGTACAAACGCGTACAAACGTACATACATACATCCATGCATGCATACATACATGCATACACATACACATTCACATACACATACACATATACATACACACGCATACATATACATACATATACATACATATACATACATATACATACAGATACATACATATATACATACATATACATACATATACAAACATATACATACATATACATGCATGCAAATATCATATAATGGTGTAGATCGATGATTTAAGCATATGGGGGGGTTCCTAGAATGGACATAATAGTAGTCTTAGTCCCAAAATTGGCCAAATTAGACCATTCTAGTATTGAAACATGGTTTTGATGATCCCCCATTTCAACAAACTCCAATATATATATATATATATAATCTGATAGATTTTAGATTCAATAATGCATTTTTAATGGGATAAATCGATTTCAATTATATACATATATACATATAAGCCAGCATACCATCACCAAACAACCAACAGGTTGTCACAAATGTGCTATAAATGGGATATGGTGGCTACGCAGTGGGAAATGATGTAGATTTGCAACCGATAAAGGTTTGTTTGAAACATATGATATATCCCCCCGAATGTCCGTCTTAGTAGTAATAGGGCAAATGAAACAACACAAATATTAACCATCAAATCCGTGCGAAATAGTATACCGTACGGATTCGTTCAACGGATGTAATCATTAAAAAAAACAACCATTAACCAATGGGCATCATATTTTTGCAAACCACAATTTAGTACAGTAACCATCCTTCATGATCTCATTTTTTTGCCAGACCAGGCGGGGATTTAGTAAGTGGTTGGCAAGTGATGTAAATGGTGTGTTTTAGATGAACTTGCCATAATCTACCCAGAAGGATTGGGATGGAAGGGTGGAAATGTGAGATAAGTGGTAAAAGGTGGTAAAAGTCCACAGATAGGTAATATAAATCGGCAAAGATGTGGATAGATGAATCAAACAATGGGACAACGGCAACAATGTTTAAGCGACTCTGACTCAATTGCAAGTGACAACGCGACTTACATCAGCCATTTGATTTGAGGGTGATTGTCCCAAGATGGAAGCAGCATAGGAAGATATCCGCCTATAATCTTCACAGACTTCACAGGTTTTTGTCTCATCATATGATTATCCCATGATTATCCCATGATAATCAGCATAGGAAGATATTCTTATTCACATTCCTATCCCATGATTGTCCCATGAGAGACCCATTAAAGATAGATACCCTTTACACGCAGGGAACCGGCCGGCTTCTTTCAGGTGAACCCGGTCGTTTTTTTTTTTTTTAATAACCGCGGACCCTGGAAAAAATGTGTTTGGATTCAATGATTATAGTTGTTACATATTGTGATAACTATAAATGATCATAACAATATACCTATATAGAGTGATGTTTTTTTGGATTTAATGTGTGTGTGTGTGTGTTTTTTTAAAAAAAACTAGTCAATAATCAATCCCATATGCTCCATGTATGGTATTTACTGTACCCATTTTTCGGTGATGTTTTGGGGTAAACGGTGGTTTTGCTATGCCCGGTCAATTTTTAGCACATGGGGATTGGTTGAAGGGGACATCTACAGGAATCCATGGAAAGTAAATCCAATGAATGGGGTGAACCCCCGTCATTTTCCCTTCAATCCACATGAAACCAGCGAGTTGTGTGGGACATGTAACCCATGTATTCGAAGCGACATGAAGGAAACGAAGAGACCACGGTCAGGGATACCCATGGGCTTTTCAATTTGCTAGATGTACTGTATAAGTTTCCATAATCCTCAATTTAAAGATATGGATTGTCTGGATTGTCATTTGCCAGGCTAGATTGCCGGTGCTGCTGCAATGCAATTCCCCATGTTTTTTTTGTTGGTTCATCCACATTTGTGGTGGCTCAGCCTCCATGTTCGGTGATTTCAAATGCCTAAAACACGATACATTTTACCACTATGCTTAGTGGTTATTTCCTGTTCATTCCCTATTTTCAAAAATTGGGGAGTACTTAATTCCCCGTGTTTCATGGACATAGGCAGCAACAGGCAAAATTGCCTTTTTTTTTTCACCCTGGCATGACATTTTGGTGCTCAGACACCAGCCATTCTATTGCTCAACCGCGGCCACGGCCTTTATCGCTCACCTTTTGCGCCTCGGTTTTGCAACGAGACGATGAAAGGGTTGACTGGCTGGTTGCGAAGCTCTTAAATGTCGATCATTGTTTGAATAATTCAATATATATATATATTTATACATATATGATCTATAAGAATATTTTATCACTATGTCGTATCAATATAAAATTTATTGCATAATTAATGTTATATGGTTGTTTTGTATTATGTTATATTATGTGATTTTATCAAAGTAAATTGAATTATGTTGGAATATGTTTATACTACGTATATTGTATTTTATAATATCTAACTAATTTATATAACAGTATGTGTATATTGCATTGCACTATGTTTAACTAAATCATAGTATAATTATATTCTTTTTGTATTATGTTGTATTTAATTATATTATATTTTAGTATGTTTTATGCTATATTGTATTTTATTTCTGTTTAAAAAATGTGCACATGAGCTAAATAACCAATTATATACATATACGAGTATAATATATATATATATATATATTGTATCAATATTTTGGGTGTCACATTCCAAAAAGAAATGATTGCTGGTTCTTGTGACCTTGGCCTTTTAAGAGAGAGAGAGAGAGAGACCGAGACCCCAGCTGACAAGATTGGTTTGCCCATACCATGATAATAATACATTGGAATTGAGTGTGTGTCCATATCTATGGTGTATGTGATTTGTTATCTGATTTTCCGTATAGTTTATTTTGATGGCTACTTATGATATGTGCTTGTGTCTAGGTATCCGCATGCATTGTGATATAAGGATGTCGCATTTCTGGTGACTTCAGATGCTTAAACCACATTAGTTAATAAGAGAAATCGCAACAAAACCCAGTGAAAATCAGTGTTTCCAAACAAAATTCATAGTTTTCCCAAGAAAATGTCTTGAAAGTGGGATGATGATCCCAAAAAAGTGCTTGCCCTGAGCGGAGGTCCAGCCATGTACGCTTGCTGCTGTGCCGCCGAAGGAGACGAGAAGGAGATTCAATTCAGACACTCACCGCAGCGATACGGAGGAAATGGGTGTATTCCATATAGGTTTCAGGGTAAATATGGGAGGGTGCTGTAAATAATCCCCTAACCCTAATATTAGATGTCCCCTCCCCCTCCCCCCAAAATAAAAAAACCTAGGGGTAGTTCTTATTAATTATGAGGGGGTATTTAACATTCGGGGGAGAAACTGGCACCTAATGTTAGATATAAAACCCTCAATTATCAATTAACAAACACTAAATTTTTCGATTTTAGCAATCGGACCCGAATAAAAAACACCCCAGGGTTATTAAGGGAGTAGAATCTTCAAATGAACCTTGATTTTAAATTGTTTTCTAAAGGGGTTCAATTAAAAGTCAAATTAACCAATCTGACATTCCCCAAAACAAATAATCTGGGGCACTGTCGTTTTTATTCTGGGCAGTTTTTGTAACAAGGACAAGGGATTGTTGGACTTGTGACTTGTTTTTTTCTCGAGAAGCTATGTTTGTTGCAGTATGTTTGTGATATGTTGTGGGTAAATTCAAGGTTTCTTGCATTTTTGTGTAGTATGGGAGCGAAGTTGATTGAGATGGAGCCAAATATATAATCTTGTTCCCATCAATGTGATGGTATCACCATGAACAATTGAAACAACAACTATGAAATACATGGACATCTATGCCACCTTATGTGATCAATTTAATTCGAAACCTATGATTTGGGGGTGGTTCCAACCCCACCCACTTCTGGTAAATCATTGTGTGTTGTTCATTATTGGGCTTTACTTATGAATATCATCACGATATCCAGTTGATTCATCATATTTCCTTGTTACCCGCCTGTAAATGTTTACATAGATATCATAGATGTGGTGGTTTCCCAGCATAAATGTACATTTTCCTAGGTTTACCCTGGGGTTTCCACCCTGACTTCGCGCATCTGGGCGCGGGGCGTGGCACGTTGGGAGCCGTGAGGTACGTCGGCCTTGAAAACCGCCATCGTCGTGCCCGAGGTGGAGCCGAAAGCACCTGAGTTTGGAGTCTTCAAGGCCCGAGAAATGGAGATTTTGTTTGGACCGAACTTAAGGGATGTTTAGCCTCTGTACAGTTATGGCCCTTAACAGTTATAAATGGAAATATAACTCCTATAACTCAGGTTATAGATCATTATGAACCTACTTATAACTGTAAAGGGCTATAACTGTAGGGATTTAAGGCGATGTAAGTAGCACACTATTGACAATTACGCGATGTTGATGGGAAATATATATATATGTATATATTTACATATGGAAAATAGTACTCCAAAACTAGAAATGGAGGATTTAATCGAATCAGAAGTGGGAAGTTAACCAACAAAATGATGGCAAATAGCCATAAAGCAAATAGCAAATTACTATTTACTTGGGGATATCACCATGTCACTAGGAGATATCACCTTGACATTACAGGGAAACCTGGGAAATCGAAGTAAATTTATGGACATATTATCTAAATAACATTAAATTACACTAGCCAATGAAATTGCACAAGTAATCTTATCCCCCATATCCCCCCATTTACATTAAACACCCCCTAATTTACATGGTTCCACATATCTGTGCGTTTATCCCCTACTAAAACATTGGGATGGGAGAGGGATCACCATCATTTCCAGCGGTCCACCTTAGAGAGGTGGATAGAGATGGGGCTTACCATGGAATAACCCCGCTCTACTTAGCGTAACGATGGTTCATGTGAGTGCTGTATACAGTAATTATATATATGATGTATTTATATATACATATACGCATATAAAATTTGATATAATATAATATAATTTAATATAATTTAACATACTGTAATATCATTTAATATAATACAATATCGAGTATAGAATATCATCATGTTTCCCACAGACGCCGTGTGTTGCCCAGACATTAACATTGAGAATGTCGTGCTGTAGAATATATGATAGGAATTGATAGGAGAGATTGCAGAAAATACTGCGTATACGCAGTGTTTTTTTCCAGTTTAGGGTTCAAAGTTTTCAGAGCCTAGGTTTTGGGGTTTAGGGTTTTAGGGTTTGGGGTTTTAGGGTTTGGTGTTTTTAGGGTTTAGGATGGTTTAGGGTTTTAAGGTCTAGGGTTCGTCGTCTGGGAAATCTCAAGACACTGGCCCTGCGCAGTTGTTTGAGCATGTTGAAGGATAATGTTTAAACATCTTTAAACACCATTTGAACCTTCCGTGCAGCACACAGCGCCTGGCCGTAATGCTTTATTATACAATATGATATTGTATAACATCGTTCATTATAATATAATGTGACATAATATAAGTCATGATATAATTTAATAAACATATAATATATAATTTAATACAATCTCTATATATATAATATAGTAGATAGAATGATAGAATCGACATAATATCGACATTTCCAGGTTCTAAGCATATGTGTTCTTATTTTCAAACAGTTGTAAACAGTGTTTAGAAACTTGGTTTTAGAAACTTGTTTTTTTGTTGTCAAACAGTTATTATGTGACTCAGTAACATGGGTCACCTTAGTCTTCCAGGGATGCTGAAAAACTATGAAAAACCCCAATAGTTTGACCAGGATATTTGTCGGAAGATGCTGAACATGCGATCTATAGTCTGGAATTTTCGATGGCTATTCCAGCCACATTGAATCCAGTAAAATATGGATGCACCACTGCCTGTTCTTGAGTTGGTTGCAAATAGTTAAATAGTTTGCGGATGCACAACCTCTTACCTCTAAGTACTTCTCCATCTTGCGCGTGGCTGCTTCTCCATAGTTTGCAGCGTGAAATTCCCAAAAACCCAGAGGGTAAACCTCCCTGCGAGCTCGGTCAAGGTGAACGTGGCCAGCTATGATTTCGTCTCGCTGGGCGTGACCTTTGACACCTTCGGGCCACGGGTGATCACAGCCATCAGCGATGGAGCGCTGGCCAAGTTCAATGAGCAGAACCCCAACCTGCGCCGCTGGGAACGGAAGGGTTACGGGAAAGGTTTGAAAAACCCTATGGTTTCAGGATGTTTCAGGAAGATGGGAGGGTGATACATGGTTGATTGTTTATGGTGGGATTGTTTTGCTATTTGGTCGATAGATGCACTACCGCTGTCTGTAAATAAATAAATAAATAGACAAATGATACAAATGAATAATAATGTTGACAGACTCACGATATATATATATATATATCGATATATAATGTTGACATTTTTCGTGTGTAAAGACACATGTACATAAACTTGGAGGGTGCAGTCAACTTGATGCTACCATCAATTTTCTGACAAAGCCAGTTTGAATATTATTACCCTCTGGTAAACTAACATAACTATGGAAAATCACCATTTTCAATGGTTAAATCCACTAAACATTGCCATTTTCAATAGCTATGTTAAACTACCAGGGGGTATATATGGCATGTTACCCCATCCTCACACTAACATTGGGATAGCCAGAGATCTATGGATTTTCAGTAGCATGAAATGCTTGGGAAATGGCCGATGTGATGGATTATGAGGAGTCGCCAGGGAAATAATGAGCTGGCCATGAGAAAGAGACTATTGCCAGTAGCTTAATTTCCTTGTTCAATCCTGCACCAGTTGATATGTGGTAAAGGTAAAGATCCCATGATTTATAAGGTTTCAACAATGCAAGGTGGTGCAGGATTTCTTCCATCCACAGTATCTCTGTCTACACCGAACTCTTGTTTACCAGTAAAAAAGTGCAAATCCAAGTGAATAAAGCCCTGTTTAACATGGACGTGCAAACATACGTAAACCCCCCAACAGCTGGAGAAACCATCATACCTCTGAGTTTCCAAGCCTTCTCGTGCTTCCGACAGTTCTGCATTGCTGGTGTTTGTATCCCTAGGTATTGAAGTCTACGACGCCTTGGTTGCCATTGATGATGTTGAGGATGCGAAGGGCCTCCTGGTCGCAACCTGGGATTGATCAGGTTAATAGGTTTCTCCTAGCAAACTGCATGGCAAACTCATTCTATGGGTTATTGGGGTATTGAAAGATAGTAAACCAATTATTAAACCAACCTTAAATGGTAAACAGAGCTATTTGACATCTATTTAAGGGACTTTTCTTTTGACTTCAGGACTTAGGATTTACCCTCCGGCAATCAAACGTGGCAATGGAAATTCCTTTATACTTAATGTAGGTTACTGATTAGTACAGGCGGGACCCCTCCCCCCCCAAACAAATTTTGGATACACAATAGTGTGGAAATTACAAGGGACCGGGTACACAATAGTGTGGAATCAAAAAAATGATAGATTATCAATTGATGTCAATTTACTTTCAATTTCAATTGATTTCAATTCACTTTGAATTGATTTCAATTTACTTTGAATTGATTTCAATTTACTTTCAATTACTTTCAATTGATTTCAATTGCTTTCAATTTACTTTCAACTGATTTCAATTTACTTTGAATTGATTTCAATTTACTTTGAATTGATTTCAATTTACTTTGAATTGATTTCAATTTACTTTCAATTGATTTCAATTTACTTTGAATTGATGTCAATATACTTTGAATTGGTTTCAATTTACTTTGAATTGATTTCAATTTTCTTTGAATTGATTTCAATTTACTTTCAATTTACTTTGAACTGCGTTCAGTTAATTTTAAACTGATTTCAATTTACTTTCAATTGATTTCAATTTACTTTCAGTTTACTTTCAATTGATTTCATTTTTTCAATTTACTTTCAATTGATTCAATTGATTTCAATTTACTTTGAATTGATTTCAATTTACTTTGAATTGATTTCAATTTACTTTCAATTTACTTTGAACTGCGTTCAATTAATTTTCAATTGATTTCAATTTACTTGCAATTGATTTCAATTTACTTTCAGTTTGCTTTCAATTGATTTCAATTTAATTACTTTCAATTGATTTCAATTGCTTTCAATTTACTTTCAACTGATTTCAATTTACTTTCAATTGATTTCAATTTACTTTCAATTGACATCCCATAGTAATCCCATAGAAAGATCATAGAAATATCATGGAAATCCCAGAGGAATCCGACAGAAATCCCATAGAAATATCATAGAAATAACATGGAATAGCATAGGAACCCCAAAGAAATCCCATAAGGATTCCCACACAAATCCTCTAGAAATGCCATAGAAACATCATGGAAATACCTTGGAAATCCCACAGGAATCCAATAGAAATCCCACAGGAATCCAATAGATACCATAGAAATCCCATAGGAATCCAATGGAAATCCCATAAGAATACTATAGAACTCCCATAGCATCCCTTCAGAAATCCCATAGAAATCCTCCACCAGAGGGTAGCACTACTACTGCATAGATGTGGAAAACCCACAATGAATGTAGGCAATTGTTCTAGGGATTTCCCATGGGTTTTCCACATCTATGTAAACGTTTACCCTGGGTCAATAAATATGATTATTATATACATAATAGTACTGGATGTCCCTATCATATTCCATTATATTCCAATATGTTCGATTAATATATTCCAATATATATTTCATTATATTCCATTAAAATCCAGTTAATATCCGTTAATAATAGAGGGGTACCATGTGGTACCACTGGTTATATCATGAAAAGTCAGGCCTTGAAGCCCGGGTTGGGATGTGTTTTTTCCAACATACCTAGTGGTGCATGGTCTGGTAAACTAACATATAGCTATGGAAAATCCCTATACATAAATCAACTCTTTTTATGGGCCATCTATTTCCTACAGCTATGTGTCTTAGTTTTTTCAGAGGCTACATCCTATGAGATATTCCCCTTTGTTTTCCTCATATCCCCCGTTTGTTGGTTACGTGAAATCTCTATCCGTCGCAGAAAATCCTGGGGCATCGCGGCATCGCCCAGGAATGGACGAGAAGTTGAAGGGCAAGCTGCCAGAGACCCTGACGCTGAAACTCAATCGGCCACGCCAGGTGAAAGTGGCCTTCAAGAAGACAGGTGCGGCGCTTCGGCGTTGCCACGGTGAAAGATGGGTTGGGACCAGGACAGTGAATTGTTCGTTGGTTTTTAGATGTTTTTGTACCAAATGTTTGCGTTTCTTAGGATTCCGAGATTTGTTGTTATTCATGTGGTTCAACACTTGAAACTGAAGCGGTAGAAACATGGCACCAGGTGGTTTGGGTGTGAAGTTGGACTGGAAAAACAAGAGCCTTGGTATTGTGGTCAATGAGATTCTTGGCCGGACAGCGCCCCCATGTTGCGGTGAGGACAGCTGCAGATATAGAGAAAAAAACATAGAGAGAGGAAGCCATTGGAAACGAAGAGAGGATCTATAAGATCCACGGTCCAATCTATCCAGATATAGAGGATCTATAATTATCAATGGGAATTTCAGGATCCTAAAATGGAGGTACTGTACCATATTTCTGGCCATATTTTATGGGGATGTTCCCTTACATAGGCCTTATATATGGTAGGTACCTCCAATCAATCGGTTCCTGAAATGGCCATTGATAATTAAGGACCATCAAGTTTCTGCTTTGGATCGGCAAGTCATTTGGGATGCGGAAGAACAACTCCGAAACAGACCAGGTGTACCAAAACAGATATGGAACAGCAATGAAGAACTGAATGAATAACGCGTGGTTTCCCCTTGAAACCTTTATAATCCTTTATACATATATATATAATATGTAATGCCAACACCGGATTAATAACCCCCCCAGAAGGTCAGGGTAGACCTTGCAAGGTCTCAATTTTTTATAATTAGATCTAATACTTATTATTTGTTTAAGAGGAATTTTCGTTGTCCATTTGAATATGGTTGTCAGCAAACCTTGGTTGAGCACGTCAATGATGGCTTAGCTGTATTACTTGTCAGCTACAGGTGGAGCATTTTCTGAAAGAAAGCATATTCCAGGACTCCAGGACATTTGTTCTTACTGTATATCTAATTATGTGTTATAGATAATTCGATTATATATATATATATACAAATGTTTTTCTATGCCATATAGACAGATAGATAGATAGATAAGATAAGATAAGATAAGATAAGATTAGATTAGATTAGATTGATAGATCGATAGATAGATAGATATTAAGAATAATGTGTTTTTAGTTTATTTCCAGAGCCTTTGTTTTGAGTCCTGAGGATGCAAGAATCTGGGCACATTGCGGACTGGAACAAGGAGCATCCCAGCGATGCGGTGACCGTGCGCGATCGCTTTGTGGAACTCGATGGTGCCTATGGCGATGGTTTCGTGGGGGATCCCCAAGGTACCATAGGTTTCAACACATCTACCCCCTGGTAAACTAACATAGCTATGGAAAATCACCATTTTTAATGGGAAAATCCACTATAACTGGCCATGTTCAATAGCTATGTTAAATTACCAGAGGGTATGATGATTTGGGGCTAGGAACTTCCATAGAGATAGGGTTGATCCATCACAAAATATCTCGGAGGTTGGTCACAATCATTGGGTAGCTAGTGCGTGGTACTGGGAATTCCAACTTCCTGGGCAAAGAGACTGTTCAGAGTTTGCCAGACCTCACCATGAGAATACCCTCTGGTAATTTAACATAACTATTCAAAATTGCCATTTCTAGTGGATTTACCCATTAAAAATGGTGATTTTCCATAGCTATGTTAGTTTACCAGAGGGTAATGAGGATGTTTGGGGGAATCATCTCCAAACATGGCGAATTTCCCCAGGTGTTTGGGGACGGTGGCAGATGATGATTGGGGCGCTGTTCTTTCATGTGCCTTCTTAAAAAAAACAACAAAAACCTATGTCGACCGCCATTGCCTCAAGTGGTCTAGGGTGGGGTCAATAAAGTTGTATCTGTTCAGGTGGGTCGCAGCCATGAACAGATCGCCCATGAACTCCTAGATTCAGTGCCGTGCTTCCTGGTTACTGTTTGTTACGTTTCAAGAGTTTCAACTATTCCATGGAAAATTGGACAAACATCATGAGACTTTGGATGACTTTTGTATACTTTCTATATTTACTTTGGATGACTTTTGGTGCATTTTGCTACAACAATGATCGATATGATCGAGATTCCAGATCTACGCATGCACCAAAAAATCTCAAGCAACCATAGATATTTCATATTTCCTAGCTGATTTTACATGTCATCACAGTCATCACGTCTTATAACCCATCTTCCATCCTTTCTACCGAGGCAAACGCTTATTGGGTGCGGAGATGATCGATGCCTTGAAAAAGGAGAAGGGCGACAACACCATCACCTTGATCCTGGGCAAGCATGGCTCCACCATGGACACCACTTATATAGAAAGAAACACAAATACAATCATATGCACATGTATGCATGTACATATGCTAAAATGTATGCACATACACAAAATATATCAAAATATTATATACATATATACCGTATACACTGTATATATTTAATGCATATTGCTCACAATGTATAGGCATTCGTATTTTTAAATAGGTACTCTTCGTGTGTTTCTACAGTGCGTGCTGATGTGTTGGTTTTTCCCTGGGAAAACCACCAGTTGAGGACCGCATTGAAGTACTGAGAGTCAGAAGGCATCGTTGATTTGGGGTAGGGCCGGGGGATGGGATTTTCTGCCCAGATGCCTCTAGGATGAGCAAAAATGGCCTGGCAGTGTGGTTTAAGGATGGCCATAGTGTGATTGTCAAAGGGGGGCCTTTGCCTCGTTAAAAAAGGACATTGTTTGCCTGCGCCCAAGTCACGATGCAGCCGCTGCTGAGCGTTGGCTCGCTGGTGTTCGTTGATGTACCCTCCGGTAGTCCAACATGGCTAGTAAATCTCTCCGTTCGAGAATTCTCCCAGCCATTCAAACCCTTATCCTATGGATCTCGATGGGGGATCTCACAGACATACCGAAGGGCATGTCTCTTTCAAGGTTCCCTGCATGTGACCTTGGTACTGAGAGAATGGCCATGGACCAAGGAGAATCATTTTCTTTTCATGTCATGCCACGCTGCCACGAGGATCCATTTTTGGGTCATGTCAGTTGTACGAGGTCACTGCCGGGGACGCCTTGGGATTGTCATCTGATGTGTTGGCACATTTGGCACATGAACTCGTGGCTTTTGGGGCACGAGTGTCCTGATGTCTGAAGGGATCAGGATCTGACCAGCCTGTGCCTATAGTTGTCACTATGGCTGTTTTTTAGGACATCAAACACAATGCCTGTGAAGGCTGCCTTCCAATGGAAGGGGGCACGAAAAAACATCGCGAAGCCGCGGCCATGCGAAAGAAAAACGGCCAGCCAACCTGATTTTCGTGTTTGTTTCCAGTCCGTATCTTTTCACTGATTTTAGTTTTTGGATTTCCACAGGAGAAGGGGGTTAACGGTTACTGTCATTATTATATACTAATTAATTACTATAATCAGTATTACATATCATTATTGTCATTAGCAATATTGACATCCATGATTGTTCTTGCACCATCTATTGTTCAACAATAGTGAGTTTCCCAAACTTATCAGCATTGCTGTTGTCACAGATTTTTTTCCAGGGGATGGAGTTAATCATAGCCTATGGTAGTTGAAGCTATAGAACATGAACATGACATACTGATGATTTACCAATAACAATGATTGTCAATAGCCATGTGAAACTACCAGATGGAATGCATCATTTCTATAAATATATGTGTTCATGTTTTTTTTTAGCACATGCCAATGCATCCCAATACATCCCGTACGGCTATCATTACAACATTGAATGTCAGGAGATGGGATTCATTATATCTTAATGGTAGTTCAACATCGCTATGGAAAATGGATGACAGCCATGATTTTCAATAGCTATGTGGAATTACCAGTTGGTAATCATCAACAATCCCATTAAGCCCCGTGATAAATTCCATCTAAAATTCCATTTTCATTAAGTTCCATGTAAAATTCCAATAAATCCCATTAACATCCATTAAATAATTATAATACATATTTTTCACCACCTTCCACTGCCCTTCCAAACTACCGCAATCACATGTGGCGCTCTTAGGCGTTTGTGCCACAGCTGCTGTCATTGCTGGGAGCTGAAGGTGGGCCGCCAAAATGCTGAAAAAAACTGGTGAAATGGGGATCAATTTGCCAGAGGGTACACCTGTCATCAGTCAGATTAGAATTCAACCAAGAAATCTAAGACATACGCCTAAAAATCCTAAAATTTCAGCTTGAGGCGAGACCAGCTATCTGTTTGGAGGGGGGAGTAGGGATGACAATTCAAATGCTTATAAATGGTGATTCAAACTTACCAAACAAATTTGGTGGTGTACAATCGAAAATAATGAAAAAAATGGATAATTGAGGATGTATCAACCACCAACAAACCATTAATCAGGGTTTATGTTCAATCTATTGTTGGGGGGTATACTTTTGGAAGACTAGTTCCTGCCCCAGGACCCCATGAAACGATGATGTTAACCCTTGATTTATCAATAGGGGGCGTAGCAATTTCAACAGTATATAGACTTATCACTATTTTGGGGACCTCCTGATTTTCATAGAATTGGTGAAAAGGATCATTCTGGGACAATTTTTTGCGGTGTCAAACATCATCTTTGGTGCTTCGGCATGTTGACCAGCGTTGATGAAGCTACGAGGGACTCCACCCACTGGTGGAACTGCGTCCCCAAGGACAGCATAAGAACCTTGACACTAGAAGGCCCATTCCTGAAAAATTGAATCAGCTTCCTGCCCGTATTTTCATTTGGACACCTAATTGGGAAGGTTCATTCCTTAAATTCAGCAGGAAAAGAAACACCACGAGAGACTTCCTGCAGTGGATTGAAGATGGATCAAATCAGCGACAGCGACGGCGACTCTAATTTCAATGGGCATGGGTGAATGACGAGACTTGTTTTGAAAAAAACTTAGATACCTTAGATCGTCCCTGTTGCTTAAGGCATGCGGCATCTCATCTGTCAGGTTTCCAGTTACCATTGAACATAACAACTCGTATCCGTCCAGGATTTGCTGAAGGATTTTCTGTTATTTTCCCACTGGTTCAAGGTGATTCCATTGGGAGTGTTTTGAACGAGTTTTCAATGGTCGCCTTACATCTAAACACATTGGCCCTGAAATCAACCTACAAGTTTGTGCCCCCCAGTTCCGTTTGTCGGCTTACAGCCCCATCCGCACGTACAATCCCATGATAAACCTAGAAACATATTCCAAAATGATATAACATCTATTAACATCTAACATCTGCAATTAAAATCCTATTAAAATCCATTAAACACCATTAAAATCATGGTTTCTCTTAGTGAACTCCCCATTTTTTCCCGGCAATTCACATCGCTTCACAAACGATCCGACTCTCGCAGGCGCTCAAAAAGGCCACCTGCGGGCCAGCGCAATCCAAGCCTTAGGTGCGAGCGCTGTTACTTTTCAATGCAAACTACGCCATGTAATGTATACATATATATATATACATTTATTATGCAATCTAATTCACGTGTTTTGTTCCGTTCCATTCCATTTTGTTTTTTGTTTTTGCGCGTGTATCCATATACAGATAATTGTTGTTTTTATGTTTGCAATCACGTGTCAACTGACCGGCTGCAAGTTGCCAATCTGCCAATTTCAAATTGCCTGCAGTTTTGGGGTTGGACCGTTTGGGCCCTCGTTTTAAGGTTTGAAACTAAAAAGACATGTTTGTTCCATGCATATGGCTATTTTCGTCAAAACCTGACCCGGATGCTACCTTAATTAATAGCATATAGCTGGGTAATGGATGGACTGATTTCCCCAGTGAAATGGTGTAACTTGATCCATCCCCATAGGAAAAATCATCTATAAAAGTGTGGTTTTTGATGGGAGAATCATCTATCAAATGGGGGGAACGCTTAAAAATCAAGTTCTTGAAAGGCCTGTTGAATAATTGTTGAAAGAATTGCGGGGTCTGTCAGAATTGTCAAAGCCCATGTTTCTGTCCCCATGTGCAGGTGGCATTGGCCTCGCAGGAGGCATTGAAACCTGCAGTTTGATATCCTATTGTTGTACCTTGGCAGCCTTGGCATTTTGATGGGATAAACACCCCTGAGATGGCAGCGGACAGACTCATAAGATCTCATAAGCCAATGATCAGAAACAACTGATAGACTCAGTGCCAGCTGGTCCACTTCATTGTTGGATGCCCTGAGACCGGTGCTGAAGCCATGAAATTTACCATCATCATCCACCATCTGAAAACAGGAAAGGATAACGCAGTGCCAATCGGCCAATGGGGCACGAAGAATTTCAAGGACCCCAAAGGATCCAATCATCTTGAAAAACCATCAATCATTAGGAGGCACAAACCACCAAAGGTCAATGACTTGCAGTTCGTGTGTCGGTGAACTTGTCGTAGTCGACTACGTCTTTGTTCCTGAATTGGCTCCCATGAGAATTGGCAGAACTCGCCCAACTAGATGCTCAAAACTTCTCCAGTGTCGCTATCAACCCATCTTTTTTGGTTGCACTCCCAGTTTGCCTCGTTCACTGATTAAATTCACCTTTTTTGCTGATTACCTCCCCATGTGTGTGTCATTGATGTCACATTTGTCTAAGGGATTTTGTATTTTTTCCTGGTCATTTAGTTATTGTATGTTATTGTCATTCAAATGGTTGAATCATTCAAGCAAATTTAAGCCCCCACCTTGGCTTGATGATCTTCATGGGGAAAACCGGGTAAGTCCCTTTGTTTACCATCCAACACTTTACCATGGAATCTCTGGAGCATTTATTTCCATGATTGACCTATTCAACATATTTCAAACTTGTGATCTTGTGATTTTCTACAGCTATGCTAAGCTTTCCGCTAAAAAATGGGCTGATGCGCGTAAAACCAACAATGGAGATCTTAATTCGTTATAATGTGGGTAAAGCAATCATAAACCATGCCCCAGTCATCACCATGTTTATAAGTGGTATGCTTACCATTCCCAGTCATGGGTGGTAAAAATGGCATTGTTTTACCCACATTGCATGGGACAGATTTTTCCCCATGGCCCTTCGCTGCCTTTGCGAGGCACCCAGGACCCCGAGGGCAGTGTGAGAGAAGCCGCGCCTCGACGGCAGGGTTTTTTCACACAACCGGTGGTACCATCAAACGTGGAAAAACCCGGATCAATGGAGGTCTGTAGCTGGGAAAATTGAGGTTTATAGCTGGCAGAAACCGATCCATGCAAAAATCTCTCAAATACGGATGATGTTCAATTGCCATGTTTGATTACCGGGTCTTGCTCAGCATCCCCCCAACAAAAAAGTGTATACATAATTTTACCGCCAGGGGTCTACTAAAGAAAGTTGCGAATCTTTGGGATTCAACCAGCTGAAGCATGTGAGAAAAAATCAGACCTGGATGGCTTCAATGTGTCAAACGTTCCAAGACGATCCACATATACTATGATTTATGATGCTCAATGGCTCAATGTTTTGTTTCTCCAATGGTTGATAATGATACCATTACTCCATTAAGAAAGCTAGTCGATGATGATAAAGGATTGCAATTTCTCACTTTTTTCCTAACACTCAATGATGTGCAATGATTTTTCAATATTTTCCAACCACAAGATATGAACAAAAACCATGTTTACCGAAGATAATATTTGACTCTTATATATTTGACCATCATTTATGGTGATTTTCAATGTTGGAACCCAAAAATCCAAAAGATATCCAACGATTCTCAACTGCTTTTCAAATGTTCAATGATGTTTCAATGATTTACCTGGATTCGTTCATCAAATGTTCAGGTTTTCTTATTTGTGTTTCATCATGGTTTGTTGAGTTGTCAATGGTTCTTTAAATCCAAATATGGCCAAAAAGTACCCTAAAATAAGTGGTAAATTGATGTTTATTCCCTCAATATGGTAACAATACGTTTTGACCCATCCCCATATAATCAAATATCCTCATAGTGAGAAAAACTGGAACACAACAGTTTCAAACCTAAATTTCATCACTAATTGGATCCAAATATCACCAAATATCATATTATATCACCAAATTGTCCATGTTGTTTCACCTCCAGTTGGACCTCGGGTTTCAATATCATCATTGTTTCAATGGCCATTCCAGGAACCTTTAAAAATTGGAGGTACCTAGCATTTTAGGATCCTTAAGGATCCTGGAATTCCCATTGATTATTTCAATCCAAAAGATCAGTCATAGAATTGGATGATTTTGGTCATAATTTGCAGGAAAGCCCTATATTTGATGGTAAAAACCATGGTTTCCTGTAGATTTTCCCTTAAACCAATCCAGTGAATCAGTGGAAAATTCCAACCCTTTCCGGGCCAATTGTGGGCCAGGCGTGTGTGGCTCTGGGCCTTTTCGCCGAGGCCGCGGCGCGCGCGGAAGGCCAGGTTCTTGTTGTACTTGAAATGGGATTAGAATGGAGATTTTCTGGGATATTTATAGGATTTTATGGGATATTTATGGGATTTTATGGGCTATTTATAGGATTTTATGGGATATTTATAGGTTTTTTTATGGGATATTTATGGGATTTTATGGGATATTTATGGGATTTTATGGGATATTTATGGGATTTTATGGGATATTTATGGGATATTTATGGGATTTTATGGGCTATTTATAGGATTTTGTGGGATATTTATAGGTTTTTTATGGGATATTTATAGGATATTTATGGGATATTTATGGGATTTTATGGGCTATTTATAGACTTGAAATGGGATAAGGATGGATCATGTGGAAAATCTATGGTGAGTAGGCACTAGTGGTTTTCATAGTGGTTATATACATGGTGCTTAAAAGAAAATAATAGTGGTTAATAGTGGGATATAGTCGCTTTTCATACCCAACCACTGGGAGATGGTGTGACATAGCCAATAAACCCGATAGTTGATATAAGACTGGAAAAGCAATGCCATAATGGGATATAGTATGGCATTTTTTTCGGAGAATATGGATGGATTTTTCGGATCATAGTGGAGAATAATGGGATATTGTGGGATATTGTGGGATATCCTCCCAAAGTTAACTAATTGTTCCAGAATAATGAACTATTATCCCATACACAACCAACCATCCCCAGAGTTGTTTTGGTTTTTTCAATTGAGTGTACCCTCTATTTGAGATGACTTCAAATGACCCACAGACATTGTGGATATTTGGATAGCTTGGTATTGGGTCTACCACATTAGCTTGTATAGGTGTCGAAAACATTTTTCAAAGCATAGATCATCATAGATCACCAACAAATCTCTAAGAATCAATTTTATATATAGATATCAATTGGCAATAGATGAACATGATTGAACGGTGTCAAAACTCTGGCAGGGAATTAACCATAGTTTTATCTAATTTTGCTGTAGGACTTTGTAGGATTTGACTTTTAATATATTTTAATATGTGTTGCAGATTTCTAAAAAAGCAAGTTTGCCACATGGTGGATTGGGATTTGGCCAAAATAGTGCAGCTATCAGCGGTTTGCCCATCAATTACCCTCTGGTAATTTAACATAGCTATTGAAAATGACCATTTATAGTGGATTTTTTATTGAAAATTGTGATTTTCCATAGTTATGTTAGTTTACCAGAGGGTACAAGTGTTCTTTTGGGGATGTGTATGCGTGCATGTTCAGACGTACCCATTATGCTCTTCATCGTATTGATTATGGCCTATATATAGTCCTGGTTGTGAATCACATACCAGCTGTGATGCACACACACATGAGTGCCATGAATGAAAGTAGCGGAAAACCATAGATCTGTTGGCCATGTTTGGGGTCAAACGCATATGCATTTAGATCAATTATATTATATATATATTGTTACATTGTATTGTTTTAGATTCATTTATATTGTCCCAAATGATGCTACCAGTAAGCCAGCCATTCGGTACGTGGCCATTTGAAATGTGCTAAAAACAATCGCGCAAGCATGGGTCATGGGATCTCATAGGCTTTTTCGTTCCAGATCTCAACGATACAAGCAACTGATTTTTTGGAAAGTTCCATGCATAGGGACTCTGTGAATTAGTTGCAAAGATGGAGCTGTCCCCACTATCTTGGGTCGTTGGTCGGGAAAAAATATGAACACATACTGTAGAAAAGTGATGTTTGGGCGTATTTTCATAGTATTAGTCATTGGCTTTGTGGTGATTTCAATCTTCACATTTTCCATCGCTGGGTTGAATCATGTTGAATCCAGCAGGCATGGGACCTATGTTTGCTCTACTATTTAAGATGCCTATTTAGTTCGGGGCTTTCCTATCTCTATATAATAGTAAATATATATATATAGTATATATTAATATATTCAAGAATATATATATATGTATTATTTTGTTCTGCCGTTTTGCCATAAAATAAAGTTGATTAATTACAATTGTCCATTCCAGACAGTAACCCCCATGACCTCCCATTCCAGGTGCGGATGAGCTCTTGGAGCTTGCGCGGCCAGCACTGGCATCGGCATTAGATCCTTGGGGCCACGACTGGAGCATATGAGTTGAATATATGGTTTACTGGAGCATACCCTAAGGATCCATGTATGGAATATTTACCTACATTGGGATTATTTTAAATTACTTTAGGGGTCAATGTAGGTAAATATTCCATACATGGATCCTCTGGGATATGCATTGATGTCCATTGATGTCCATTGATGTCCGATGTCCGCAGTGATTTTTGAATTCTCGCTCTGCCATGTTTGATTACCTGTGGCTAGTAGATGTAAACCAATATAAACGACAGTTGTCCAACGGTACATGTCGATTGTCACCATCAAGAGCCAGGCCGGAGGCCCTAAGGTTAGCACATGGATGGGCAATTGACCAACATACATACATACATTACATTACATTACATTTCATTACATTACATTACATTTCATTACATTACATTACATTACATTACATTATATACATACACACACAGACAGACAGACAGACAGACTTACAGACAGAATTACAGACAGACTTACAGACAGACTTACAGACAGACTTACAGACAGACTTACAGACAGACAGACTGACTGACTGACTGACAGACAGACTTACAGACAGACTTACAGACAGACTTACAGACAGACTTTCAGACAGACTTACAGACAGACAGACAGACTTACAGACAGACTTACAGACAGACTTACAGACAGACTTACAGACAGACTTACAGACAGACTTACAGACAGACAGACAGACAGACAGACAGACAGACAGACAGACAGACTTACAGACTTACAGACTTAAAGACTTACAGACTTACAGACTTACATACATAAATACATTACATTACATTACATTACATTACATTACATACATACACACAAAGACAGACAGACTGACTGACTGACAGACAGACAGACAGACTTACAGACAGAATTACAGACAGACTTACAGACAGACTTACAGACAGACTTACAGACAGACTTACAGACAGACTTACAGACAGACAGACAGACTGACTGACTGACTGACAGACAGACTTACAGACAGACTTACAGACAGACTTACAGACAGACTTACAGACAAACTTACAGACAGACTTACAGACAAACAGACTTACAGACTTACAGACTTACAGACTTAAAAACTTACAGCCTTACAGACTTACATACATACATGCATACATACATACATACATACATGCATACTTGCATACTCACATACTACATAAATTATATATATATACACATATCCATTGGGTTTGCCACCTTTCTAGGGTGTTCTGAGGATGATCCAGAACCCTTCGTGCGCGAAGCCGCAGCTGCTGCCCTACATGCCGCTGCAGAGGGCGCAGAAAAAAACATCGATTTCTGAAGCAAAAAAACAACAGATAGTGGGATACTCCTACACAGATGGTGGGATAATGATGGTCAATGATGGTCAAATCCTACATTGGTGGGATAACCTTACAAAAATTGTCAAATGATGTTTAACGGCTCCGGGAGTTTATTAAGTTTACGAAAACAATTTTGATCCTCGCATGTTCTAATGCCAGGCTACGCGGTCGACTGCATGATCCACGGAGAAATGGCCACTGCCAAACTCAATCTCAGCGAATTTGCCGCACATGGCCATATGTGGGTTCAATTCTAACCTGGTTGAACCTTCCACCTGGGAGCTGTTTTCGGACTCCCCCGTGCCCCGGCCGCGGCTTGTCGCGGTGGTGGGTTTTTCAGATGGCGCCAGAGCGGCGCCGGGATCCTTCAGATGGAGCCATGTACACGTACGACGAGGCCTTCACTTACTACAGATCTCTGAGACTTGGGAGATATGATGGGATGATATGGATGGTTTTTAATGGAAAATCCATCTATAAATGGATGATTTAGGGGTACCCCTATTTCAGGAAGCCTCCATATCACGGGATATAATGGTGAAGTAACGGGACTAGTGGACAAAATTGGGAGATGTGGATAAAACCTCAATTTTTGTTACCAATAAGATGGGGAAACATCGGGATAATCATGGGATCTAATGGGATATGAATGGTTTTAGGCTTAAGGGAAATTTGCCCTCTGGCAAAATGGATTAGATATTCCTGCATTTTATCAATTTTATCAATCACTTCTGCAATGAGACGTGGACTTGTCATCAGTTGTGGTGCCCTATGATGAGATATCACTCACGATTTTGATGCCCCATTTTTTGGGGGGGGTTGAACTTGTTAGAGTCATTGAATTGATCCATTTCAGGACATCTCGTATGTTTGGAACTGACAATATTTTTCATTGTGAAACCCAGCTGCGGAATGGGCATCTATTGGTGAGTGGAGGCTATTGTAATCATCACAAGTTCGTGTCTTTAATATGGACCATCCAGGTCTTAGGGTACCCAATTGTCACCATCCAGCCACATGGAGTTGTCACACAGTCCGGGCCATGATGATCACCATGCGTCCACTCGACCGTGTTTGAGTAGAACTCGACCGTGTGTTATTGTTTTGCGTGTTCTTCTGGCTGGTGCTTTTCAAATCACATGTTCAGCCAGGATGGGGCCCCCGTTGGTTGCCGCGTTCAGAAGTTCAGTTGCCTTATTTAACCTTATTTCAGTGGCTGAATTCTATGGTAAAAATGGTAGATATAACATGATATAACTAAGGGTTAATGGGGGTTATAAACCAACATTCACATCACTCGGGGGCCCCATGCTGTAGGATGATCATGTTGGCGCCGGGCAACGTTCCGAGGAGATATAAACCTGAGGTGATCAACGCCTACTGGGACCCTGGGATGCGGTGTGCAACCCCGCAACCCCCAAAATTTTGGGCCCCAAAAATGGTAGAATCTGGTAAACTAATATCATAGCGATGGAAAATCACGATGTCTAACAGGTAAATCAACTAATTAATGGCAATTTTTAATAGTTTTGCCAGATTACCAGAGGGTACATTAGATATACTGACACCTAATCCAAAGCAGGCCCCATTTAAGCGGCGAGGACCACGAGATGTTGCCTGCCAAGACGGCCAAGCGTGTACCGGCCGCCAAGGTGACTGAGACGTTTGGTGGACGGTGTGTGGTTTTGTTGGGGTTCACCGGCACACACTTATGGATCAACAATTTTAAATGATTTGTGATTTTCAATGGGCTTATTTCATGATAAATAATCATAGTTATAGGATTTATAATTTCATTTATAACTTATAACGTTGAAAGGGCCACATGGATCTGTTTATTGGAGAATTGTCCGTTTGTGATGGCTACTAAGCTCCCAATTGGCCAGGATTGCTCAGAGTTCATGAGCAAAAGCCCGGATTGAGCCAACCAAGTTTTTTTCAAAATGGTGATGTTTCCAGCAAAACTGGATTTCTTCTTAGTAACAGTACAGTACCCTCTGGTAAATTAACATAGACCCTGAAAATCACCAATTTATAGTGGAAACTAGTCGTCCAACCCCTGTCTGCCAGGGTCTATGTTAATTTACTGGAGGGTATGTCCTTTTTTACGCTGGCTTACTGGGGGAAAAAAAAAACATGCACCACGGCGTCCGAGAACGTGTTGCTTATTCCCCCATGAGTCACCGTGGTTTTTGAACCACTGTGCATCCCTGTCACCCACATTGTGTTTGAATCTGCCGACCGGTCGGCAGTTTGGTCATGTTTGTTTCTTGCGTGTTATTCCCATGAATGAATATGTATATATATATATATTATACTATATGTATATATATATATATTTTTTGAGTATAAATGCGTGGGAGATGCACACTGACAGTGCCCAAGTTCTTTGAACCAGGGTCTTCAAGATCCGTCCCGTCCCTGGGTATCTCACCTGGCGAGTCTCCAGGCACCGAGGGCAGCAAAGGCGGGTCGCCATGGTGACGCAATGGCATGCCATGGTCAGACTGGAACTGCAGAACACATACACAAAACATAGCAAAGAACGCATTGAAAACAATCCAACAAATGGATAAGTGATGACAAGTGAAAACTCAATGCGACCACAATCAGCATTAGTTAGCCTCAGCAAAATTGTTAAGTCATATAGTATGGTATCATATGGTATCTCTATCACATATCCCATGATGATGCAGATATATTGCAATGATCAGGAAACAATCCCCAGTTCCAAATCATTCTAAATCACTTACTAGCCATTTTGACTCGAGACCTTTGCAGGCAGCACCAGAAGCCAAAAGCAAGGCGAAGCCGAAGGAAAAGCCGAAGGCCAAGGCTAAGGCCCTTGCAGATACCGTCGGCAGCAGTTCCTGTTGCGGCAACTTTTTCCTAACGCCCCAAGATCTAAGAATCGTGGCATCCCAAATCATGATTTTACTGTGAATAAAAACATCCGTAACGTTGGTAAAGCAATATCAATAGAATTCACTGAATTCACCATCCCAAAAATATCCAAAATAATTGGGTGGGACTCCAACCATCAAAATATGCTTAGTTTATGACATTGCTTTAGTTGTTGTCCATGTATTTGATATAATCAACGTTAGTAATTCAGCATATGATTGCTTCACTAATCCCCATATAGTATCATATAGTAATTGTCAATATAGTTATCCCCAGTCTAGGATTGATATTGATATAATATAGTTATCCCACTGATATAAATTGATCTAATCCCCATATAGTTTGATATTGATGGACTCTTTTCCCGGCCTAGCAATGGATGTCCTGGGCTGGTGTGCCTGCAAGGCTACACCGGAGCCCAAAGCCAAAGGGAAGGCGCCCGGGTGAGAGGACGCTCCACCAATGGCGTTGTAAGTATCCGTGGAGATGATGTAGACTCTACAATATACAATATATATATATATATTCCATGTTTAAATAAATATAGTAACCGCCAAAAAGATAGCATAGTTTTTCACTAGTTCAATGGGACTTTACTTTTTGAATTATCGTTTTTGGGAGTGAATATATATATATATATATATACACATACACACATACATACATGCATGCATACATACATACATACATACGTACATACATCCATACATCCATACATCCATACATCCATACATCCATATATGGTCCATACATCCATACATCCATCCATCCATCCATCCATCCATCCATCCATCCATACATACATACATACATACAAACACATGCATACACATACGTACATACATACGTACATACAGACGTACATACATACGTACATACATACGTACATAGGTACGTACATACGTACGTACATACGTACGTACATACATACGTACATACATACGTACATACGTACATACATACGTACATACATACGTACATACATACGTACATACATACACATACATACACATACATACATAACATTACATAACATTACATCACATTACATAAGATTACTTAACATTACATAACATTACATAACAATACATAACATTACATAACATTACATAACATTACATAACATTACATAACATTACATACATACTGCAGGGTAAAACAGAAGGGAAATCCGACCAGGTGGGTCTTTTTTAATAAACTTTCCACAGAGATGGGGACTTTGTGCTGCTGGGTTTGTTTGATCAGGCGAAAGCCAAGGCAAAAGCAAAAACCAAGGCAAAGGTTTGAGACGTTGAGACGTTTGCCCTCGGGCCTGGCATATAGGGACAAGCGGGTCCGGTGCATATCCTCTGACATCAGCCACTGAAGAAAACACAACCCATGAGCTCGAATGAGCCCCATTCTGAAGTGTGTTCATTGTGCAGCTAGGACGACCCGGTGACAAGTATTCAAACTTGCAGTCATACTCAGATACACAGCCAGTGCTTCCGTTTTCTGCAGGTTGCAGGTCCTGCAAATCCAAAGAGATTCATCAATGACGAGGGCAGCATTGTTCAGGACAGGCTGATGGCGGCGCCAGTGGGTGCTGAAGGACGACCATTTTGGATCAACATGTCCCAAGGGCCTCCACCGATTTGTCCAGGTTTGGTTCGTTCCAGAAAACTTGCAGGACTGTCTTAGATTTGAATAAAATTGATGTTTGCATTCACGGTTTCCGTAGAATTTCCTTGAACACAATCCGACGAGTTCAATTTGAAAGATGACGCGTTGTGACAGTGAAGTCAAGCACATTTTTGTGAAGTTGCTGCCAAGTTTGGTAGGTTAGGGGTTGTTTTGGGGGTTTTCCATTCTCCACCCTCCGATGATCCATGAAAGGTGCCATGTTTGATCCCATTTGGTACTCCAACATGGCTTTAGGCTAGAACATACCCATTGAAATACCAAATTAGAGGGATTTTACATGATTTTACCACTGAAAACCCTTCATTTATAGATGATGTTCCCATATACCAAAGTTCGGGGACTTCCCCGCCGCTCGCGCAGGATTCTGTGGACGGTCTCATTTGGTCCACGGAAAACTTGGCTCGGTTGGACGGTTATCCCGACATTAAGGTGGTCTATCGCACAGATTGGAGCAAGGACAAGGTCGCACCGAAAGGGGTAGCTGGAACGGGGAAGTTATGGTAGTTGGATTTGTTGGGTGGGGATAAGTTCTTGTTTGCCTTAATTGCGTGTAATTGTGTCTGCAGAGCCCATGACGAGCTATGGAAAAGATGTGAGTCATGAGTTACATGGATTCATGGTTGTTTTGTTGCCTTGTTTTGTTGCCTTGCTGCACTTCTTTTTGTGTGGTTGTTCTAACTCTTAGTTGGTTGGTGGTTTCATCCATTTTCATCCCATTTTTTTCAGTGATAGATCTCCTTGTTCTATCTTGTTCTGGTCTATCCCCTTATCCCTTTATTCCCCCAATGTTATTGGATATATCACAACCTATCACAACATATCACAACATATCATCTCCATTTTGTGATATGTTGTGGTGTTTTACGGCGTGTTTACATGGTGTTTGTATATTGAAGAACCTACATTTGTTCACGGAAAAGATATTATCACCTCAGCGGCCAACCAACCCCTTTTGGAGGGAACAGTAGTACTGTTTTTGCCCTCATATTGGAGGCTAAAATGACCGGTAAAGAAACATGGTTTCCTGCAGAATTTCCCCTTAGATTCTTAGATCAGCCCATGTCTTTTGAAGGTGGCCCTGATTTCGGGTGGGGGAGCTGGTCATGAGCCCATGCACGGTGGCTTTGTGGGACAAGGCCTGGGGAGCTGGCTGAAATTGCTTTTGGTGAGGCCAGCAAAAATGGTGATGTTTATGGAGCCAAGACAAATGTATACAGTATATATACAGATAATATCAGATAATTATGTATATATATATATATGGACAAAATACATATGCATATATATATAATTATATATATATATATATATGTATACACATGATGTACATAAATATATATATATATACATTTGTCAGGGTAGATTTTATACTGCGACCTCAGACCTCACTGGAATGATGGTTCGGATTAGGTAAACTATCCCAAAATAGCCTTTTTTATCCTTATTTCAGGGTATCCAGATTGGTGAAATAATAGAATATATAGATTAATATATATATATATATTTATAATTATATGTATGCCTGGATCTTCAATTAGCATGTTTTTTTCTGCTCATAATAAGTTTTGCTTGGATTTACGCTCTTTCTGACTGTTCACTCTCACTTGAACTAGAAAATGCACATGAATTTTGATGGGTATTTACGTTTTTTTCCCGCTTATTTACGCTTATTTCCCGGGACAATATGCTCATGATTTTTTGGCTTGAAAATGCACACAGTGCAAAAATGCCAAAAGTGGTGCAATTACGATCAATTACGCTCATTTGGAGAAAAATAACATAAATCCGTGAAATGCGCATTTATTTGCGCTTTTTCGAGGATGATATGGTTAAATATGGGCCTGTAACACTATGTTTTTTTCCATTGGAGGTCCATTTTCCTGAAATAACTCCGAAAAAATGCACGAAACCCTGGGTACCCGACCTGGTTCTTGAATGGTTTGCGAAGTGGAAAATTGACATTTTTTTTTAATGGGGAAATATAGGTACCCTCTAGTAATGGTAAACTAACGCAACTATGGAAAATCACAATTTTCAATGGGTAAATCAACTATAAATGGGGTATTTTCAATAGCTATGTTAAATTACCAGAGGGTAAATCATCATGGAATCATCTATTTCTATTGACCATGGCTTCCATTTAGCTATGTGAAGAACCAGAGGGTAAGCCATTTAGTCATTTCTTGAAATCCAATTGTTTGAAGTCATTTATTTGCACCAGTTGGTCTCTAAGAAATCTCCATGTGACGGCTGAGTTCCAGGACTTCTGACGGCTGCCATCAGCGGTGAGACCTTTGCCTCGCCATCCATTGATGCAGTGCTGGCAGCCATTGTCACTCGGCGGTCGCGGTTTTCATGTCAACCCTGGAGTGAGAAACGCAAGATACCCTCCAGTAAACGAACATCACTATGGAAAACATATAAAACATGTCAGTTTTAGAGGTTCAATGTAACTATTAGACATGATGATTGTTCATAGCTTTGTTAAAATACCGGGTAAACTTATTAATTCCTATTGGATATAAACATATATACTGTAAACATGCTATTGGTCAATTATATTGCATATTAATTCGGACTTGCCCCAAAAGTAATAACATACAGTTAACATATTTATTAACATTTGATACTTTCCCCGTTAAACAGCCCAGGGGTTTATTAATCTAGGGTTGACACTGCCTAAATCCAATCATTGGACAATCATCAGACACGTTTGGCAATTGGAGGTCGGTGTATCCCCTTTGTTCAGACGAAGCCAAACTTGGGGATTTTTTTACAGCGACATCACTGGCGAATCGGCGGAATCATCCTGGCTTGATGATCTGAGATTTGAGATGACAGATGATCCATAATTTGGATGATTGTTTTCTGTTTGGTGCAAAACAACATGTTGAATTGGAAGACCCAATGTGTCTTTGGACAGCTTGCATGTGGACTCTGTAGTTGTGTTGTTCTGTTGCCGTTGCTTGTGTTCGTTTGAATATTATGTTTTTGTTGACTTGAAATATGACTTGTCTATTAATATCTTAACATCCTAACAACAAGGATGTTTTCCTGGGACAACTTACTTCCGCACCTCTCAACATAGATACTGCGTGTTTAAACAACGGTGTTTCTGATTATCCCTTGTATATTGGAAATACGTTCTAAAGTAGAAAAGCGTCATCCTCACAATTGGATATGATTTGAATATGTTTCATGCAGTACTTGAACGCAATAAGTTGATGTCATGCCTGTTTTGATATGTTTTGATGTTCTTGTTCACCAACTTTGATTGATGTTTGTCAAGCTGGCAAGATGCCACCATTTGCAGGCACTTCACAGGAACGCATATCCCCAAGTTTCCCCTGAGTTTTGAGAAGCCAAGTTTGTTTCGTGAGTCTTCAAGCTGGAAATGCATCCCAAAAATGCAGTTTATTGATGTTTATTGAATCTATTGAAATCCTTATTTCAGTTTGGTGAAGTACATTCAATTACTTTGATTTTTCTTATTGAATTCTGTTGAATATAGATTATCCCAGCATCAGTCAGTCTTTCAAGGGAAAAGTGCAGGGGTTGGCCCTTTCCAGCGGGGCAGACGGGGGCTGAGGTTCAAGTGACTGGCCCCAAGGGCTGCTTGCTGGTCATCAAGATTCCTGGCACATGTCCAGGGATCCATGTATGGTGCATTTAGCTGCGTGTGGTTGCCATATCAAATTTGCCATGTATATATATATATATATAATTATATTTATATATATATGTGTGTGTGTATTATATACATACAAATGTTTCTTAGGAATTGGTTGTTGAAAAATCGTCAGAAAGTTTCCGGTGAAGACTTCCCCAAAAAAAATGGTTACAGGACGGATGTGTCATGTCCAGAACTTCGTTTCGGTGACGGATGTGAGGAACTACACTGGTGATCGTCTGAACTTCACCTTGGCCGCACAAAAGGTCGACACCCTGGGGCCAGATGTGAGGACTATGGCTGAAGCATAGAGAAAATATTAGAAATCGGGTCCAGTCAGATCTGCAACGTTTTTCTTTCTTCGGTTTTCGGAATACTTGGGAAATGTTTGGTTACAAGCGACTTGAAATCATGAATCGAGATCCAAAAAAGGTCAACATTTTCGCAATTCCGTTTAGGAGGATCAACCATCACTGTCAGCGGAGTTGAATTTAAGTTCAGTGCTGGATCTTGTTGGTTTGAACTTGATGCGGTGCACCTGGGAACATTACCCAATCTCATCATGAGACTGGGAAATGTGGAATATATAATATATAACATATAATATACAATATTTAATAAATGTCATATATAATATAATATAATAATATAATATATATATATATATATTATAGTATGAAATTCATAATATATAACACATAATGTATAACATATAATATATAACATACAACAATAATCAATAATATGTCAACCTTCCAAACGCGAAGCCAGAGCTTCGCGTCTTCGCTTCGCTAGGCACGTTCGATTTATGGTCTGCAAGTGGAGACAGTCATCGTGAAGGCGCAGCAGTGGACTTTTTAAGGAAGACAAAAGCCGAGTACTTTTGGTGATCATCCAAATAGCTTGAACAATGCAGGTATTTGAATGTATAATATGAATGTATGATATAAGTTGATATGATAATATGAATGTATAATATGAATGTAATATTTGGGATTATCCTCACAAATATGATAATATGAATGTATGATATAAGTTGACCCAGCAGTTGAGAATTTGAGACAATATGATCAGTATTAGAACTGTTGATCATATATATATATATTATTAACAGAATTTAATATGGTCTGAGCTATGTTAAATAGTGTTGATCACAATTCACATAGATAGAAAAGATCATAATATATAGAACATAGAACATGATAAAACTATATTTTGTGGTGGTTCACATTGAATTATGAAACTATGAGGTCACATTTTTAACTGTGTTGATGATAGTTCACATTATAAGAATATATGTGTTGATCATATTTCAAATCATGAAACTCGGTTGATCCCATTCCACATGCCAAAATTCCAAAACTAATTTGTCACATTTCACATCAAACAAAAGAGGGTTGATCATAGGTTCACTTTCATATTATTCAAATTACTATAATGCCTTTGTTTCGCTGTTGATCATATTAACGATGATATTAACGAGCATATTAACCATGAACAACAGTTGGTTCATCATACATCATATAGACATTATATTTGTTTGGTGGTTTGGAACATTTTTCATTTTTCCATATTGGGAATAATATTCCCAACTGACGAACTCATATTTTTCAGAGGGGTAGGTATACCACCCACCAGATATTATTCCATATTACTTCCATACCAAGGGAAAATCTACAGGAAAACCTTATCTTTGATGGGAAAAACCATGGTTTCCTGTAGATGGTCCCTTAAACCAAGCCATTGATATAGACATATAGACTTCTAATTAGATGAAATAAACAAAATCTACATGGAAACCCATTATATATATATATATATATCAGTTACCAACCCATTCATACAAGGTGGGGCCCCCCAGTTATAAGATGGTTTATAAACCCCATTAACTATAGTTATAGGTACCATAAACCATAATTATTGGAGTTATAAACCAACTTAGCTATCTTGGGGGCCCCACTTTGTATCAACCTGTTGATCATTTGCCCATGGTGATTTCTGGTGAACGTCCCCATCGATGTCGCTACAGGACGATGTCGCCACCTCGGCGGAGCGAGGGATTTGCGGAACGCTCTTCGTGCACAAGGCGATGTGTTTCATCGTGTTTCACGCCGGCGAAGGGAACGAAATTTGATGAGTTTTCTATGGATTTCATATAGATTCTGTATGGATTTCTGGATGATGGATTTTTCCATTTTTTTTTGGTATATTATATGTTTAACTGTTCGTGATGTCAATAAATCGGATATGAGTAAAGACATCCATGTGGTGACGTTCTTCAACATTCTTAGCCAATACATAGACGTAGAGTAACATTTGGCATCATTTGGCGATGGTTGCCACAACCACACATGGTGGTTTTATTATTTTATTATGCAAACTTGGCTGTTTATTACCAAGATTTGGGCATCACCAACAAAGTACCGATGCTGGAAGTGGTAGGAAACCCTGTTGAAAGATGCAAAGCAAATGCTTTGCATACGCCTATGGCTACAGATGCACTTCGCCTCTTAGCAAATACTCTGATCGGGTGGTCATTGTCATGCACCTCTGGGGCTTGACGTGTGAGACATTGCTGGACGACAGGTAGCAGGCGCTATGTCCGAAGAGGGCAAGAGCCTCGCAGACATCAAAACTCAAGTGGCCGCTCGGATTTCGTGCAGGGGAGGATTTGTTGCTGGTGTTTTTTGCTGATCAATTTGATTTCTATTTGAATATGCCATGAATACGCCCAGATGTTGATGAGAATTAACAGGTCGTGCCCCAACTCTTTGAGCTTAAGCCATTCGTCAGCATGAACCTCTATGATCACCTCTATGATCACCTCTATGATCACCTCTATGATCCTCTATCTCTAGGTCTATATATTCAACATATTTCGAGATCACTATGACCTTCAGATTCCGACACCGACATCCCACCTGCCATGAATCTTGGGCAGGAACAGGTCATCCGCGACTCCGTGAGCTTGGGCGTGTCCATGTCGGTGGTGCGACGCTTGAAGGCCGAATCCATTGGGCTCAAGAAGATGGAGGCGTGGCCTGATGCGGGTAACGTATGGGAACATGGTACGGCTTAAATCCTTTGAGAAACCATGGAGAAAAACAAGTCACCTCCATGTTAGGATCCCGAAATGGCCATTTCATATGTTAGTTGAATGGTGTTCAAAACCCCTGTTGGTTGATTATCGAAGGTTATACTGCCCAATATGCTGGGGATAATCATGATCCATGAGCGAAATTCTTTAAACCAACCAGTATTCATGGAATGACGTTGCAAATTTTGAACGGTGCTCACCATGATTTTCCCACTTAATATCACCATTCTACCACCATTGTTGTTGGTTGAATCCCCATTTTTGGAGGTTACTGTAAATCTTCCATTTCTGCCTTTGGACTACTATGATTCCATGTGATTTCCCAAAAACATCCCATTTTTAATAGTCCATTTCTGTTGGATTTCCCTTTCTGTTGATGTTTAAATCATGTTAAATCCAGAATCCCCACCCTTTGTCGCTCGAGGTGGGTCTCGGAATCCACGGTGAGCCAGGGGCAAGGACCGGCAACCGGCTCGCCATGGCGGGACTGTCGTGTTGCAACCGACTCGCTATGGAAAGTGATGACCTGGAAATGATCTTAGGGCAAAAAAACTTTAGTTTTTGGCATAGTGGTTAACCGATGTTTGCCCAGGCAAAACATCCATGTGGATTTTTTTTTATGACTGAAGCATCTCATAAGCTGTCGGGATCCAATCAGCCAACACTTGAATGTTGCGTGATTTAACCAACAAACGTGCTTCCCCAGTTTTAAGTTGGTTTATAAACCATAGCAACTATAGTTATATACCTTCATAAGCCCCTAGTTACTGGACTTCTGTTCACCAAGTTCGCGGTACCCGGGGCACCACCTTGCACTATATACAAATCGGGGACTGTAGTAGCTGCTCACCAGTCTTGATCATTTCTGTGAAATTCATTAGAGATAAGACAAATAACACTCAACCAAAAAGAGATTCCAATTGTTTCACATTGTTGTTTACATGTGCATTTTGTATTCAATTCTTCGGTCCTTCCATTAATAACCACGGATCACCATTATAATCACATCTTTAGCCATTCATCACCATTATTACCCCTTCACAGCCCCATTGCCATTTTAACCAATATCAACCATTGTCATGCATGATAAAATGGAAAAAACACATGTTAACCACTATAGTTACCACTAATCACTAGACTAATCGCCTCTCAGCATTGTGAAGTATTACTAACCATAAATCAAATCCGGGATATACATCCCATTATTAACCATTTATAGACATGACATTATAGACTATCACTAGACTAATAACCACTATCCCATGTAATATGTATATCCCATTTTTCTTGGACTGTTTCACTGTTTCACCATCCCCTCGAAGGGCCGCCATCCTGCCCTTGGTCCCAGGACGGAGGCCATGGCTTCGGCCAAGGCCATCGTGGAAATGCTGATGGAGGGCCTGGCGCAAGGGCGCAGCAGCAAAGGGCTGCCGGAGCCGACGGTCACGGGGCGAAAGGTGAGTTGCATGGGTGGAAATTGTCCCATCACTATGGAAAATCTATGGAAAATTATCATTTTGAAGATGTTTGAAGAATCGATAGATGGGTTGTTTTCCATAGCTATGTTACGGCAACCAGAGGGTAGGAAATGGGTTAACAAAAACGTGGTATATATATATATATATGGTATCTCTCTCTCTCTATGTATATATATATATATTCCATATGGGATTATATGAGTGATATATGGTTTGTAAGGATTATGAACCACGGGTCCGATTCGTGGGACGCACGTCCAAGATTCATGCGGTTTGCAGATGAGAAGGTGCCTGTGTGAGACACCCGTGTTGGTTGATGATTAGTTTAAGGATTATGCTAACCAATATGTTGGAGAATATCACAAACCAAAAAAAAAAGATGATTGATTGACATATTCATAATGATGTTTTTTTTGTTAATAGCTATGTTAGTTTACCAGATGGTATATGGTGGGGGGTTGTAAAAAGGTGGATTCCCAACCCACCATGGTTTTGAAGTCCATATCATGGTCTCATGACTTGGATGGTTTAGGAAACCTTCCCATGATACATATGGTTGCACGTATGTTTTTTCGTCATCCTGAGTCATCCTGGAGTAGATAGAATATGGAATTTTCAATAGATCATCACTAGAATGGAAGGTAACAATGTAGGTTTCGACGTGCCACTGTACTTGGTGCTTCACACCACTAACTGATTAGTAAGTGAGGTAACATGTATAGTTACCCAACTACAAAGGGATAAATGGGGAGGCTAAGTCCCCTTTTTCATGGGGACTTACCAAAATATTCACCAGATTCGATGGGATGACCAATTAAAATGCGGGAGTTGAAGATCAAGCGCAATCATGTCGTAGTTTCATCAATAATCCCTTCTTTCTATTGCTAAAACTCCCCCAAATAAATCCAAATAAACAAGATAGGATTGGTGTGGCACTTCCGGTTTTTTTATGGTTGGGCGCAATTAGATTCTTAATTGTGGTAATTGAGAATCAATAGGAGAACAGGATGGTGAAACAATGGGTTCAACACCCTATTTAAAAAATAGATTGCCACCTGGATTTTTTTTATTAGGGTCCCATCTCACAAGTTTTAGTTTTATTATTGAGGTTTTCATTGGATTATTAGGGGAAAGCTTCGAAATCCAGTTTTTGGATGTTTTTGGCAATATTTTATATAGATTTTTGAAAGGGATTTAATCAAATTTGAAATCGAGTTCTTTTTTTTTTTAAATAGGGTTTTCATTGGAATATTAGGGGAAAGCTTCGAAATCCAGTTGTTTGGCAATATAATTGATTTTTAAAAAGGATTTAATCAAATTTGAAATCAAGTTGTTTTTTATATTAGGGTTTTTATTGGAAATATTAGGGGCACCCAAATACAAAATACTCCCTAATAAAAAAAATAGATCACCGTGTTTATCATTTGGGGGGTGTTTTACTAATAGGGAGAGAAGATTATTTTCTTTCAGAGTATTGGGGAAAAGCATTTACTTTCCCATATATTTCGGAATAATCATCCTAACTGACTTTCATATTTTTCAGAGGGGTAGGTCAACCACAAACAGCACAAATTCGCCAGGAATCTAAACATTGCCACATCCCTGGCCCTGGGGGTCGAATGCACTAACCGTCACCAACCTCAACATCTGAGATCCTATAGGAATTTCCAGGAACCGGAGGAATTTCCGGAGGAAAATGCCGGAGGTTTTCATGGTTTTAATATACACACCGGGGAGAATTAATCATTGGTTCAATAAAACATAATAAAACCACCAAAAAAATCCGGTAAATTAAAACATTAATGTATATTTGCCGTGTTTTAACCATCGGTTGAGAACCGAGGTTTCAATAATAAAGATCCCCACTCATTTCCAGCTGGGCGGAGCTCAGGATGGTCTCATTTGCATGATCAACAACTTAGGTACGCCGCTCAGACCGGTTGCCGGTGGAACGGATGGTTTTTTTTCCCTCTGGTAAACTAACATAACTTTGGAAAATCACCATTGTTAATGGGTAATCAACTATAAATGGCACTATTCAATAGCTATGTCAGTTTTTCAACTTTTCAGTGATTCGTGTTGGGTCTTCACGTCTCCACTAAGAATTATGTAAAACAATACCTCGTGGTACGGATGGCATGCTGACTGCGGTCGCCAACCCAGTAATAAACCATGCCCAACTTTGCCATTCGGGCTATATATTAAAAAGTCTTGCTCTCCCATGGAGGAGTGCAGAGGGTCTACCGCATGATCCGGTGAATTCTCTCTCTCTTTTAATTGGTGAGAGTGTGAAACTCCCATTTCGTCCAGTCAATGGTTTGGATTTGGGCTGGATATTTTGG